ATTATAAAATGTCAGTAGATTTTAAAATAATTTAAATATTCAAAAGGAAAAAAAGCTTTAAAAACATTTTATAAAAAATATGTGCAAGTTAATTCATATACTAGAAAGATGTGGTCATAGTCTCCTCCAGAAAATAATGAACCAAGAAGCTTCATCTTTAGGGTCAGCATGTGTTGCTGCTCTTGAATCCTAAAGCAAAATACTTTTTTTTTTGTATTATTTTTATCTTTACAACCTGACAAGCTCAAAGGGGATGAAAATATCAAGCATATCTAATTCATAACAGTTGCGCTGCTTCTCTGGGTAATTGTACATCTCCTTTAATCACTTATTAAAGATGATTAAAAAATGCATTGAGGACAAGATGACCTACTGTAGCAGCACACCGTTTAGAAAATTCTTAATTAAAAAAACAAACAATTATGTATTAAAGCTCAGACATTTACAGGCAGATGTTGAGGTGAAAAAAACCTATACTATACATCATGCTTTCACTGATTTAGGGCAAAGCTATATGTATAACTATAAAAGGTATACTATAACAGTGCTTTAGCAAAAAAACAACCAATCATTTCTTTTAACACGAGACAGCATTAAAGTATGTTTATTTATGATATGAAGTGATATGCTATGTAAAAAGAAACTAAAAGCTGTTATGTAAATGTATTTAAGTAAAATTCTTTTCAAACCATACTGTATATAACATAAAAATAAAACTCTACCACTGAAATAAATTTAATAACACTAACACTAACAGTTCAGCTAATGACCATGTTCAGGACTAATGTCTCCATCACACATTTAAGCCCGCAACATGAGGACACAGCACCAGAAACTTTATAATAGTGTTTACATTTTCAGAAAACTTTTTTTAAGTCAATGTCACTAAATGTGTGAAAAAAAGTTATATATTATAAATGTCATAATCGTCATGTCTATATAAATATGAAAACTTTACTTTGTCAGAATTCTACAGAGGGGACTTTGCCTCAAAGAGGTTATGGAGGTGGCTGGGAGTGACACATGCATTATGAATGTAGTCATTTGGAAGAAAAGACTTCGATGTATGTGAATGGCAGCCATTAAAACCATCTGATGTTAAATGTAGACAATTACATTTTAGAACTTGAAAACCATTATTCAGCGACAGTCTTATTAAGGATTGTGATTGAAAGTATAGGCAACATTGCACTGCAATGCGGATCATTTTGATGCAATTTTGACAATTTAGTCATGTCCGATAGTAGTCCTGTCACCAATTATTGTAATACAGATTAAGATTTTGATAAGTGGCATTACTTATTGCAATTATTGCATGCAAGTATAAATTCACCTTATACTTTTTCTACTTTTTGTCAAATCACCATAGCAACTTTTGATCGATGTTAGTGCAGTTTTATAAAATAATCTGCACCAGTATGGTGCATAACAGTAAATTGGAAGAAATACATGTGTCTTAGCAATTCTGTTGTGGATGGAATTTGCATCCGTTCCCCCGACACAACGTTTTATAGAGCAAACTTACTATTTCTGCAAATCTTTTGGGGTATGTCTGTACCAGCTTTGCCCACCATCAGCTTTAATTTTTGAATTATTTTGTACAAAACAGATTAAGACTAACCCTTCGACGCAGCTCATGATGGAATTGCAGTTTCCAGTTTTGCTCCGTATGATGACTGGATTTATGTCTTTAAAGGGTAATTTTTAAACATGAAATCATTCTGTTTCTTCTCTGGAGATGAACACATACCAAAGTGTAAAGGCCATTTCAGGCCTTCACATTTTTGTTTTTATTGAATTTTTCTGCCGGGTTGTATAGCTTCCTTCTTATGGCTGTCAATCAATGATTAAGTTCTCCTGGTCACTCTTAATTTTTATGCCCATGTACAGTAGTCAGTGGGTGACAGGTGTCCTGTTAACAGGGTTCTACCTCCTAAGCTTTGTAGTCATTAGCATTGGTCTCTTGACTGCTCTCCAGATTAATGCATTCCTCGCAAAGCTGTTGATGATCACGTCTTGGTAGTTTTAATAATCTCTCTAGTTTCAAAAGGTAGATTCAGCAGTGATCCATAAGTGGTATAAAACTTGGGATAGTGTTATATACACAACAGTACTTCACCTTTAAACTGTTTCAGAAATTTTCTCTGATAAGAGTGTGGTGTAAGATTAACTGTTATCTTTTATCTAGAGTTACATTATTTTCTTAGTTTTTTCTCAGCTTTTTTGTAATAAATGGAGCAGAATTTCACTTTCTAAATATACTGAGAAAAGCACCTTGAGTCAAGTGCTCCCTTTGTAGACTCTCTGTCAATAAGCAATAACATCAAATGCTGCTTTAGTATTTTGTTATCTATTTTAGCCTCTGGTCAGGATATGATGTCTCCTCTGCAACCCAGTGTGACCTTCTTATTGTTATGGTTTAGTGCTGCAGAAATATTTGTGAATATGAACTACGGAAGTAAGATTATCTCTAGATCCCAGGCAAAGCATCTGACGAATTCCCATCAAATCCTTGCCATCCTAACAAAAAGTTTTTTTATGTTCTATACAATCTAAAATTTTGCTCTTTACTGTTTTTCTTGTGATAAAAAACAAGGATACACAGTTTACATAGCTTAAGATTAGGTTGATTCTTTTTTCAGATTGTGTAGAAAGAAAGGTTGTGAAAATACCTTTGATGTAAAAAAAAAAACTACAAACTAAACTAACAAACAAACTAAAGTCACCTTAATGACAGTCAACATTAAACCATTGTTTACCATGTACTCAAAATAAAGGTGAATTGAAGTGCTTCAGAAGCAGCTGTTTGTTGTCAAGACTATTGCTAGACAAAGAAAATAATATTGATACCTATTTTTAAGAAAAAAAGATAAGTCATGTCTCGGCTACTACCAAGTGCATTGAAGTTCAGTTTGATGTATATCTAGTTTCTTTTTTCTATCTCAAATGAGATTAACTAATGTCCCTCTATATACAATAAAAATATATATCGAGCCACAGAGACTCCTTTGCCCCTGCATGCGTTACAATTTTTTAATTAACTAGTTTTTAAGTGAGACTCCATTGAATGCATGTTTTAACATTTCGCCCTTAACTAATCAAACAGAATGTCTTTGTACCAGAATGTAAACAAAAATCCAGTATTACATAAAAAAATGTGTTATTGCATCGTCCTACACTGCACGTTGAGGATAGAAGTCATGACTAACTTTGAGAACTTTGCCAAACACTCCCACACGTCTTACTGCACCAGCTGACATATTTACATCCCCACCAGAAAGTCTAGAGCCTGTCTAAATATATTTGGGATAATGAATGGAAGGGTAAAATTAGACGTCTTTCTCGTTTCTCTTATTTATTTCAGGTTAAAGAAAGTCTAGAGCTACGATATGTTTCAGAGACAGGTTTGGATGATTATTCTGACCCAAACACTGACTCAAATTAACTTTGTTGCTTTTCATAATTTTAAAGCATCTCAATCCACTTAAATTTTAAATGAGGGATTTGTTAGAGTAAATCATGTTTATCCTCTTTCTCAATATATAACAGAAAGCTAAATTACGGATTCTTTTAGTTATTGTATTCTTTCTAGAATAAATGTGCATCCCGGTCTTATTATTATGAATACATACTAACATACTTAAAAAATCTGCACCTAATTTCTGTACAATAGATATATAACATGCCAGTCTTGCATAGAGCCATTTCATTCCATCCTGAATATCATATATAATTTAGAATTATAACTTATATCAGTTCCCCCTTGCTTCAACTTTTTTTATGCGGTAGAGAGAAAAATAAAATAAATCTGAACTCTCAGAAGAGAATAAGCTCCAAATTCCTGGTGATTGTACCTTTAAGGTAAGATATCTGCATTCACAGCTTTCTCATGAGAACTTAAGTCAATTCATCAATGTATTGAGCCACTAAGTGAGGGGATACAGGCTCCTGCATGGGACCAGGCTATATTGTCCTGCTCTTTTCTAGCAAATTCTTCTACTTGCTATACAGTGCTCTGCAGCATCCTTCTTTGCTTGTGAATCAACCTCCCTCCACAGTCTTCTCCAATCCAGTCCCTCCCCAACCAGTTTTACTCTGCCCAGTAATAATGCAGCTCTACAAAAACAATCCAATGCTGTTGTTGTTGTTTTTTTCCCCTTTTTTTAATTCTGTTTCTCAATTAATTATTTACAGCTATACTCCCAATGCAGCCCAGTTTCTGGGAAAGGTAAAAAAAAATAATAATAAAGGTTGCAAAATGCATAGAAAAATAACTGGCTGCTATGCATAGCCGTAGCTGCTATAAATACCCCCACCCATGCATTCAGCTTCACCCCCTCCCTCATTCTCTTCCTCCTTGCCAGTGAAAAGCGCATCAGCTAGGACAGCACTGCAGGGCCCCTCCGCTGGCTTGATGTGCACTTTCTTATGCAAAGGGAGGGACACCAGTTATGTCATCGCTACCACACCATTCGTGCTCACTTGCTGATGCAACCGGGTTGGTTGCTATTCATTGACTCCCTTTGCACTGTTTTGCAGCACATGTGTGTGAGCTACTGCGGCTACATGTCGGGAGCCGTGCTGCACATACAGATGGGAGCTATAGACTGCCCATACACACAACCAGTCATTTTGCCAGTGATTCTTTTATAAGCTGCACAGAATTCTGGTTTAAAGGGGGGAAAAATCAAGCTTATAAAAACCAGAAGAGTAATAGAAGAAGGAGTGAAGTATTTTTGATGGGTCATGTTTTATTTAAAATCGCTGTCCTTGGTGCTGAAGTATGAAACCAGGACAGTTCCCGGCCAGAAACAGCAGCAGAGCTCAAAACTAACTTTTAAGAGGACTGTTTTTTTTATGCCAGTAAACACTCAAAAACATGATCTGTGACAGGCACACACAAAGAGAGTGTAAGCTAAAGTCTAAGTGAGTCGATGCCGTTATTGATCCTGCACCTCCTCTCTGATGTTGCAGATTTGCAGCTAAATGCCTTTACCCACCTTACACAACTGAAAGTTTTCCGAGACCAGCGTCTCCTGGACGTCGATTTCCTTAGGAGTTGGCGCCGCGGTAGGAGTCCCGGCCGCGCTCCCACACGATGGGGACCCTATAGTCCCTCCCGGAGAGGACGTGGTCAAACCGTCCAACACCTTTCGAAACTTCTTCATTTTTAAGTCGTTCTGTGGAATATATATATTTTTTTATGTCAGCGACAAGGAGGATAGAAGAAAAAGAAACTGCCTTCTTTGTTTTCCAAATGTTCACTTTGATGCAACAACTCTAAATCTTAAGACGGCTAAAGGAAAAGGCGTCTCTTCCCGTAGAAGCAGTACAGAGGGACACCCCCCTCTCTTTTTCTTAGGTGCAGTTCAAAAAGTCACAAATGCACCTCATCTTGAGCTCAATATGTTCCCCATAGAAAATGATCAACTCTGGTGTGAGGAATTCAGCCAACGTTGCAGATGCAGGTCATCTATCTCATCTCAGATTATGCACCAAAGGCCACTTAAACTATTCAACTTCATCTCCCCCCCTGCATCCTAAAGTAATATCCACTAGCCTACTTGGCATGAAAATGAATCCTGCTCCTCAGTTCCCGGATTTGTTTTAAATCAGGGAACTAAACAGAAGCATTTCGCCATAGGAGGAGAGCTTTAATAAAAAGCGGGAGAAAAATGAAAGGAAAAACTTCGGACAGGTCAGTCCACTCTCTCTTCAACGCTCTCTACAAAAATAATAATTATAATAATAAAAAAAATCACTTTCTCGACAACGTAGCTGCCAGTAACAGAGGAGAATGAGGAGCCAAAAGCCAGCAGACGCAGAGGCAATGCAGTTAAAGGAGGTTGGTCTTCTCAGTCAGGCCACAAAGCGAGATAACTCAGGCATCAAGGAGAAGGAGGGGATGGAGGAAGCTTTGCGTCCGCGCTGTGAACTCGTGGTTCATCCACAGATCAATATGAGTCGGGGTTTTTTAACCTGATCTTGCCGCGTGTTGAGCGTCGCTTCCATGCAGCCCACACACAAGTGACTGGAGCTGTCGTGGTGCTGAAAAAATAAATAAAGAAAGAAAATAACCAGCCATCCCTGCGCCCCACCCCCCACCCACCTCTGTTTGTCCCCCCGCCTTCTACTCGGCGATTGGTTACAAAGCTCTAGATCAGACAAACGGTATGATCAGGGCACTAACACAAACCACAATGAAGGAGTAAATCACCTCAGCACAATACAGACTACAAACAACAACTCAATGTTTTAGGATTAGAATACCTAGTATGTTTGCAAAACCAATGAGTAAGTCATTCAGCATTTTTTTAATACATTTTATGCTATTTTAATTTTTGCATCTATTAACAATGTTTACAACTCACAGCTTTCAGAGAGAACAATCAAAATTAGAAATGATTCTGTGTTATGCAAGTTTATTCAGATCTCCTCTCTGCAGTAAATATTTTAATTTGACAATGTTAAGCATTGGGGTTCAGCATGTCTGTTAAAACAAATTATTTGACACTTTATTAACCAAATCACTTTTTGTAATGATTAAAATAAGATTAAAATAAGACTAATAATAATTAATAATTGCTTTTGCTTAATGCTTTTTAACAAAAAAAAAATAAATTAACAATTTAAAACAAAAAGGTAAGGAAACCAATCTGGTATGACCACCTTTCTATAACAGCAGGGTTTTAAAAAGTTAGATTTCAACAACTACGGTAGTTACGTCTAAAGTAATGATAAAACTGATTTCTAATTAAATTTTTATGTATCATTCCATTGTTCATAATCCATCTTACTCATGTCCTTCATAAGATTATCTTACCAACTTTAATTTTATGGCAAATCGCAAAGCATATTCACGTGATTTAAATGTTTAAGATGAGTGATGTTGCACAAGTACGTACGTCACCAGCCTTCCCCTCAGGTCCTAATATCCAGAGTTTGTTGAATTTTAAAAAGTAACCAAAAGTAAAAAGTAAACTTTTTCAATATTATGTGAAATACAAATTAGATTTCTTAAAAATTGCAGTGAAAAGAATGTCACCACATTTTCAACATTTTCTCAATGAATACAATTCTTAAATGGGAGCTGTTCACATTCAGTTACTGGTGCCCTCATCTGAGTCTTGTTGTTGAAGACCCTTCAGAGTGAGTGGGCACAGCTAATCGTTCTACTTATTAAGAGTAGAATATAAAACAAAGTAAGGTACTGCTTTGTTGACAAAATATTAACTCCTTGTGTCTGGTACTGAGGTTTGTCAACCTGGACAGCCAGACTGGTTTACAGGGGACCTAAATAAGTCCAATAAGACTCAAACGCTCTGGTCTAAAACTGAACGGACCAATCACAGAGCTGGGGGCAAGAGTTCATCCTCGATGCATCAGCACCTTTCTGAAACCATAACAGTCAGGGTTGCTGCTGCAACAAAGTGATGTTTAGAGACACTCTTTGTTATGTTCTGAATGAGATGGCAACACGGTTACTTAAAAAATTTGACAACTGAGCTTTTCTTTAAAAAAATACTTTGTTCATCACATCTGGTCATATCACATCTGCCAACATGTTTCTGTGACCCTATTAGTCACGCCCTGGTCCCATTTTTCTAATTTTTATTTATATATTTATTTTTTTAGCTCTACCTGCTATACAGAGTAAGTCAGTCTGGCAAGTGGTTTGGACCTTTAAAAGCTCTATTTCAATTTTTGTTCTTGCTGGTAGCAGGGATTTATAGCAGGGTCTGTTGCTACACAAAGGGATCCACTTTCTAGGTGTTGTATGTTAGAGGTACAGTGTAATTGAACAGTAATTGCAAGAGCTAGTTTCTCTAAACTATTGGTGTTTATCCAAGGAAATAGATTTCAAACAACTAATTGTTTTCTTAAAATCAAAACAGTTTGTGTCTGCAATGTGTTTGCTTCAAGAGTGGAGGAAACTGCAACACAACAACAAGAAAACAAGTTCTGATAAGTGACTTTGTTGGCTTTACACAGCAAAATACAAAGCTACTGACTAGGGGTTGGGGTTCAAAGAAGCTTAAGTAAGAAATATACATTAAATCAACCAAACTCATTCTTATTTGTCACTCAGGATGGATAGTAAACTCCCCACAAACATTTGGTCCTCTCCATCAACGTTGTCTTAGTCAAGTGTTTCTCCTTTCAAACCTTACTTCAGCATAGTGTGTGGCAGGTGTTTACTTCTTGGTTCCTAAGCCAATCATATAAAAGCTCCCAGATTTCCCAACAAAACTCAGAATTTGGTATTTTACTTTGCTAAATATTAGTAGCCAGCAAACAAACTCATCATGTTGAATCTAGCTGTGTAATGTCCTCTCTCTCTGAAGGGAACAAGACATGCTATCTAATTTTTGTTTTTTGTTTTTATTTGAAACATTAATTGTCACTATTACTTATTGTTCCTTTAAGCTTTTGCTTTCTCTAGAGACAGCTGCTAAAAGTCAGACCATCCCTGTGAGTCAGGTGAGCTAAGTAGACCCCACTCTCTCTAAAAAGCATTTGCTTACAATTACAATGGTGGACCTCTGAGCTGTGGATGTGTCTATCATCTCTATCGGCCAACAGTGGTGTAGAAGGTCCTCCAGAAAACAGTTTAAAACCCAGCTCCTTCCATCTCAGTCATATCTGGGCAAGACACATAACCCCCACTGCCTGGTAAACGTGATCAGAAAGCCACATGGTGTCTGTGTATGGCAGCCTTGCTGCACCCCAGGGCAGATGTGGCTGTATTGTATCTTGTACTATCAATGTGTGCTGAAACATTAATGTTAGTGTGAAGTGACAGAAGTTAATGAAAACTAATGTTGGATTAATTCAACTCTGATAACTGTTAAGCACTTTAAACATGTAATTTCAACTCAATGGAATCACAATATAGAAGCTTTAAAAGTGTTGAATTTAGCTCAAAAGAAGTTAAATTAACAGTTTTAAATTCACTGTGAATGGTGGCCTGAAGATAGCAACTGCACTAATGGTTGTTTTTGTCATGATTGGTACACAAGTGTGACCCAATAATGCAGAACACCACGAGACTGGAAACAGTTGAAAAGTTAACAGAGTTTATTGAATACAATCGCAGCAGGTATGTGTTCAGGTTCTGGTCCTGGAAAAACGGGTTCACCGGAGTCTGTGAGGAAGACAGTTTAGTTAGCTGGGCTCTTAGAGATTTGTCCTTTGTTTCTGGTTTTTACCTTGAGGGTCCTTGAATAGGGCTAGGAGAGGAAGGTTGTTGGAACTGGAAAGAGTCTGATTTGCAGAGTCCATTAGCTGCTTCAGCGTCTTGTTTCTAGGTAGTTAGCTGACCTTGAATTTGGGTTTCCAGCTCTTGGTCCAGAGCTGCATGAGAGTCCAGAGGAAGTCTTCAGGTTTGGCTCAGAGGGCAGGCTCGGCAGGTTAAGCTCACCCAGAGCTTCACGGGGGAAGATCAGGTTTTCCTGGAAAACAGAGACAAGATTAGAATCCTGTCTGGATTCAGAGCAAGCAAAGTTCTCAGAGGTTCTAGGCTTAGGTGCTAACCAACTGGCTCAACACTGCGGCGTTGAGGCAAGGTCTGAAGACAGCTTAAGTAGTGGGTCCTCTTGATGATGGTAATGAGCAGCAGCTGTGCAGGAGGCTCTGCTCAGGAGGATCCACGGCGGACTCTGCTGGAGAAAGGAGGTACTTCTCCAGCTTCCAACAGTACCCCCCCCCAACGACCGCCCCTTGGCGGTCCAGAGGAAGTTGACGGACAGGAACGCTCATACTCCTCGATCAGGGAAGGATCGAGGATGTAAGAGCCAGGAACCCACTGACGATCTTCTGGTCCGTAGCCCTCCCAGTCGACGAGGTACTGCCAGCCGCGACCTCGCCGACGGGAGTCCACAATGTGACGGACGGTAAATGCAGGGTGGCCATCGACTTCCAGGGCGGGTGGTGGGGAGTCGGATGGCGGGCACAGGGGGCTAGAAACCACGGGCTTAATCTGAGAGACATGGAAGGTGGGGTGAATGCGTAGACTCGGAGGTAGCTGGAGGCGGACTGCAGAGGGACTGATGACCTGGGAAACCTTAAATGGACCGATGAATCTTGGGGATAGTTTCCGAGACATTCCCTTGAGGGGGATGTCTCGGGTAGACAGCCATACCTCCTGTCCGATGGAGTACTCTGGAGCAGGACGTCTTTTGGAGTCGGCGAAACGTTTAGTGGTCTCGGATGATCTGTTGAGGGTGGTGATGGTCTCCTTCCAAATCCTCTGGCAGCGTCGGATGTGTTGGTTGACGGTCTTGACGGCTATTTCTTTTTCATCTGCGGGGAAGAGTGGAGGTTGGTAACCATGACTGACCTGAAATGGTGACTGGCCGGTGGAAGCTGATCTCTGAGAGTTATGGGCGTATTCGATCCAAGGAAGATATTGGTTCCAATCGGTGGGGTTGTTGGATGTTAAGCAACGGAGGGTGGATTCAAGGTGTTGATTCATGCGCTCGGTCTGACCATTGGATTGTGGATGATAACCAGATGTCAACGAAGATTTGCAGCCCAGAGCTGAACAGAATGCCTTCCAAACTTGCAAAATGAACTGAGGACCACGGTCTGATAGGATCTCCTGGGGAATACCGTGTAATCGGAAGACGTGTTTCACTAGAAGCTGAGCAGTTTGGAACGCCGAGGGGAGCTTCCTGAGAGGAATTAAATGACAAGACTTGGAAAAACGATCAACGATGGTGAGTATAGTGGACATACCTCGAGAAACAGGGAGACCGGTGACGAAATCAATGGCAATGTGGGACCATGGGCGTGAGGGGATCGGAAGAGGCTGTAGCAGACCAGAGGGTGGCTGGTGCGAGGCCTTGTTTCTAGCACAAATGGGGCAGGCCAGCACGTATTCCTTTACGTCCCTGTGGAGAGTGGGCCACCAGAAGCGTCTAGTGATAAGAGCGATGGTTCTACTGACTCCAGGATGGGCAGAAAATTTGGCAGCATGGATCCATTGTATGAGCCGGGACCTGACGGAAGACGGAACATAGGTTCTGTTAGCCGGACCGTTACCTGGGTCGGGTTCCGTGGCCAGGGCTGAGT